GCTCTTCCTATGCAGACGAAACCTACTATTCTTGATAACAGCCAGATCTGAAGGAGGAAGCATGGTCAAGGGATCCTCCAAGAGCCTCTCACTTTTGATAGCTGAACAGCAACAATTCCTAGGTGCTGGCCCTTGACTGTACACGTGGACAGGGCTCCTGATCTCTGTCGGGGCTATCCTTCTCCTCACAGCAAACCAGAGGGGGCATTGGTAGGAGGGCACAGGAGGCAGACCTGAGAAGCCCGTGCCACTCAGAACAGTATGCAGTGGTAATTAAGACAGTGGTCTCTGGAGCCACACCGCCAGGTGGGATTCTGGCTTTATCATGTTGTAGCTGGGAACAAGTTCCTCACAGGAACAGTTCCTTGTTAGAGTGGACAAAAAATAGGTTCTACCTCATGGGGTTGTACACCTCATAACAACTGTATTGCACTGGAGCAGTGTCTGACATGTCTGACAGTGTCTGACATGCACTGGTATGCATGTCAGGTATTTTACATTCATTAATTTTTAAATGTTTTTATTTATTTATTTAAAATAGTGCTCTCTTCTTTTACATTTTAAAAAAATGTATTTACTTATTTATTTTGGGGGGAGAGATTTTTGTTATATGGTGCACACATGCTCCCTGGAGAGACAGACAGCCAGAAAGCCAGAAATCACTACCCCCGTAGGGGGGATGACCACACCGCAATCCCTTCTCCATTCTTCTCTCAGGATTTTGGGCATGCATGCACACATGCCTGGAATGAGTTTCAAGCCTCCCGGTCCGGGACTCAAATGGCGGTCATCCGTATGGGTTACAGCGATGTAACCATTACACCATCTACCAGTCCCGTTTTACATTTACTATTAATTCAGTTCTCAGAGCTGTTTTCATCCCAGTTCATTTTGACTGGTTTCTTTACTCCGTTTCTCCATTTGTCTTTTGGTTGGCCAAAATTCATTCTCTGGTCATTTCTTCAAGAAATGTCAGTGGGAATTATATTTTCTGAATTTTCTGTGATCAAAAGCATTCAGTACCTTTTACTTGAAAGGAAATTTGGCTATGAAAAAATAATAATAGCTATTATTCAACACAGGTCACCTATGCTTATTAAATCACTTAATTCTCAAAATAGTGCTATAAATCAGGGCTATTAATATTCCCTTTTACTGATGAGAAAATGAGGACACAGTCAAGTCACACTTCCTGCCCCAAAGATTTGGCTGGTGTCGCAGTGCTGTCGTCTACCATCGATTGTGGCTGCGGGGAAGTCTGAGGCCAACTCGATTGATTTCCCATTAATCTGTTTGCCTGGATACTCAGAGGATTGATTATTTATTTAGTTTAGTTTTGTTTTTTTTAATTGGCGAGAGGGCACATTTGCTCACCAGAGACAGGGACAGAAAGAGAATGAGAAGGAGAAAGCACCCTTCTATTGAACATGGTCACACCTCAATCCCTTCTCCATTTCTCCACCCTCTCAGGATTTGGGGCATACTCACACATATGCCTGGTGTTTTCTTCAAGGTACTGGGGCTGGGACTTGAACCACCTGGATGACCATGTGGGATCTGGCTCCCTTAGCAGTAGGCAGAGAGGTAGCCCAGGATTATTTATTTTTGAAGTCCAATAAACTTCAGTGAGGTATTTCAGGAAGATTATACATATCAGTATATGTATTAGTATTAGTTTTTCTTGGGACAGTATATAGCCTTTCTATCTGTAAATTAAAGTGTTTTTTCATTATATGAAATTCTCTTAAAATCTGCTTTGAATATTTTTTCTTTTTGCCTGTTCCTGTTCTCTCTCTCATACACATGCTGGATATCTTTTATTTTCTATATTTATATCAACAAATTTATCTCAAATTCATTTTAATTCTTTTTAATTTTCTATTTATTTTGCTCACTTTTTTCAGTCTAGTCCTGTGTTTATATCTTTCTCTACACCCACCACTTATAATGTGACTTTTATTTCTAGGATCTTCTTTTTCTTTCTTCCTTTCTGAGTTCTATTAGCTTGTTTTACATTTTCTTCTTTTTCTCATTTCTTTTCCTTTTTTAAAAATAATTATTTTATTTAACTTTAATTATTTATTTTAATTTGACCAGAGAAGGACAGAGTGAGAAAGAGAGAGAGAGAATGTGAGAAACCAAGTCACCAGGTCCGGGATGTGAACCACAGTTGGCCATGTGGTAATCTAGCGCCATGCCACCTGCTGGCTCATTTCTTTTCCTTTAATGTCTCATTTTAAACTGATATGGTAAGGACCTTTGAATTCACAGCAATGTTCTGTCTGCTTCATGGCCACATTTCTCTGGGAAATTTCTTTATGTGACATTTGCTTTTCCTATTCCTTTCCTCAGCATTCTTACAGATTTACTGTATAGATATTTCACTTGTTTTCTTTTGATTATTATTTGTCACTGAGTAAGTGAGTTCTTCCTTAACCAACCATTTGCAGGAAGAAACTGGTCCATGAATTGAGCTGGTAGTGAAGCTGCTTGTGGCTCAGTGTGTGTGTGTGTGTGTGTGTGTGTGTGTGTGTGTGTG